ATATTCCTTATACCTTTCCCAAGCTTCATACAAGCTCTCACTAGGTTTTTTCTCGAAACTTTGGATCAAAGCCCTTGCCTCCACCTTTATCTTTTGGAAGTAGAACCTAGACAAGAATTCCTTGGTAACTTCATCCCATGTTTTAAGAGAATTTGGCTTAACCTCCTTGTCTAACCTTTCCAAAGCTCGACTTATGAGAGAGAAGGGGAACAACTTGAGCCGAATAAACTCTTGAGAAACACCATTCACTTTGATAGTGTTGCAATATTTCTCAAACTCTTTGAGATGGTTTAGCGGACTCTCAATCTTAGACCAACTAAATTGTCTTCTTACAATCAAAGTGATCATGGCCGGTCTTATCTCAAAATCATTTGCCGGTGTTGTTGGCAATGCAATCCCACTTTCAAACCTATATGCACCGGCAGTTCCCAACTCCTTCAAAGAAACTCTTGGATTATCTCCCATGCTCTCTTGATCCTCTTCTTCTCTTTCTTGGTGAATTTCTTCTCTTGGAGAGCTTGGACTTAAAGAACGATTAGCAACCCTTATCCTTGTTATCGTTCTCTCGATTTCAGGATCAAATGACACTAAAGTCCTTCCTCTTATCCTACGCATACAAAAACTCAAAGAAAATATCAATAGCACAGCTACAAATGTAGCTTAAAGAGAAAAATCTTTTTGTATTTTTGAGATTAAGGTGAAATAGACTCAACAACAATATCAATCATCTACGCCATTCCCTGGCAACGACGCCATTTTTGACCTGAAGGCGAGACTAGGTCGTTGAAAACTAATCTACCCTTGGTCAAAAAAATATTTATAATCTCTCAACACACCCCTACACAAAGCATAGAGTAAGTTGAGGGTCAAACCACTAGGAATGGGAAATGAATGCTAAAGTCAAGGCTAAGCTATTTCAAAGCAATAAAGTGAGGTTTGTGTATTCAAATCAATCAAACAATCAAATGAAATATAATTTAACAAGCACCAGGGTTAGGATCCGCATGTACTCGTGATGGACATAGCTAATTGGGATTGGAGATGACTAAGTCAAGTGTTGCGAGAGAAAATCAACTAAGCAATCAAGAGAGTAAGGTAGGCTAATCACCTAGAGGTCAAGCTAGTGCCAACTACGAGAGACTCTAACTAGGAACCTTGCAAACCTACTCAATCGACAAAATCAAGCCACATATCAATTTTCCGTATCAATGCAAGCTTACAATGCATTCTAGTGCAACAAATCAAAGTTAGCTACTCTTTAATTAATCACACACATGCACTTAATTAATCAACCAATTTAAACACACCGTCTACTCCATCAATTTCCCCCAATTAGCATCAATCCATCACTTATACATGCTTCACCATTCCCCTAGCAAGAGAACTACTCACAATCCATTGAAATTAATATCAAAACTAAGCTAATCAACAATTTCATCATCCTCATATCAATAGAACTAATTCAATCACTAATTCAATTCAAACTTGAACAATCAACAAAGCAATTGAAATGATAAGCAAAAAATTGCATTAAAGTAAAAGAAATCCTTACAAACTTGCTTCAATTCAATGGAGAAATGCTAGAATTAACAATCTTCAATCATCTATCAACAATCAAGAACTTCTCTCTCTACAATCTAGAGTTTCTCTCTATAAAATTCTAATCCTAATTTCTTAATTAATTCTCTAATTATTCTCTAACTATCCTCTCATTAAAAATAGAAAGAAAATCTATATATAGTAAAACTAACTAAGAGAAGTTAGTTAGATCGTCCCCAAATAAACCCATACAGGCGCGGCCAACCATAAGGGGGAGCGCGGCCACGCAAAACCAGGTACGGAACAGGGACCCAGACAGGCGGCGCCCGCGCCAGAGGGAGGCGCGCCCTGATGAGTGTCATTTATGGCACTCATTTGGCTTCTTTTAGGATGATTTTCATGCTCTTTTATAGCTCTTTTCTTTGGTTTTCCTTACTTTTATTCTATTTTCCTTTAGTTTGTGCTTTCCTTATTTAGTTTTCTTTCTTTGTGCATTTCTTTGTTTATTTGGTCTTTTTCCCTTTTATTTTCTTGTTTTCATGTATTTTCAGGTTATGATCGTGTTCTAAGGATTCCCGAGCCTTCCTCTCATATTTCTCATCATTTAGGATGCCTCTTGCTTGTCATTTGGAGCTCAAGTTTGAAGGAATGCAAGGAGCAAGTTCATGAGATCGGTGCATACATGTGGTGGGGGAATCATTTTTGGTGTGAACCCACCAAAGAAGCCATTTCAAGACTGCCTACCATAGTGTTCATCATCATCACCAAGACGAGCGCATCAAGATGAGCTAGGACGAAGAAGAGGAAGCCTCTAGGTGAGGGCACACCACCCCTTGGTGCGGGCGCACCACCCCTTGGAGCGGGCGAACCACTCCATGGTGCGGATGCACCACCTTGTGCCCCTGTTTCCGTACCCATTTTCTCGCGACCGCGCCCTTCCGGGTTTCTATTGGGACGATCTAACTAACTCTTCTTTTGTATCTTTCCTTTATACAGTTTTTCCTTCTATTTTTGGGGGGAGAAGGATTAGAGAAGAATTAGAATTAGTTTTTGATCAACTTAGAGAGATTTTTAGAGAGAGAAACTCTAGGATTTAGTGAGAGAATTTCATGGTGGATTGTTGATGATTGAAGATTTCTCCATTTCCTTTGATCTTTGATCAAGTTTGTATGGCTTCTTTTTCTTTAATTCAATCTTTAGTTTGATCTTTAGTTTGATTTAAATTTTTTTTGTTAAATGTTCAAGTTTCATTGAAGTTTGATTGATTTGTGATTTGATTTTAGTTTATTTAATTTGATCATGATAAACTTGTTGTTTAGCTTTGTTTTGATCTTGATTTCTATGGATTGTGAGTATTTTGATTGCTAGGGTAATGTTGAAGCATATATGAGTAATGGATTGATGTTAATTTGGGGAAATTGATGGAGTTGATGATGTGATTAAATTGGTTAATTTATTATGTGCATGTGTGTGTTTGATTTAGGCTTGATCACCCTAGTTATTCACACTAGATTGCATTTTAGGTTCACATTGATACGGACCATTGATTTGTTGATTGCATTTAACTATTGAGGTGTCTTATGACATTCTTAGCTAGAGTTTATCGTAGTTGACGCTAGTTAGACCTCTAGGAAAATAGCTTGATATGCTCTTTTGGTTGCATGATTGGTTTTCCCTCGCATCACTCGACTTAGTCAACTCTTTCCCAATATGCGGAATCCGTTACAAGTATATGTGGATCCTGAGCCCTAGTGTTTATTATATTTGTCCTAACCTAGCTTGTGTAGTTGTTTAGCATTCACACCCTTACCTCTCCTTTCCAGAATAGCTTGACTTGACAATTAAGATCGCCCTCCATTCCTTAGTGGTCCGACCCTCGACTTACCATTATACTTGTATAAGGGTGTGTTAAGAGATTACAAATTTTGTTTGGCCTAGGGTAGGGTTAGTTTCAACGACCTAGTCCGACCCTTGTCAAAATGGCGCCGTTGCCGGGGAATGGCGTTGTGATTGTATATTGTTGTTGTGTCAATTCCACCTTATTAAAAAACACAAAAAGATTTTCCTTTAGGCTACATTTGTAGCCGTGCTACTAATAATTTTGTTTGAGATTGTGTGTGCAAGAGAACATGGGAGAAGCTCAAAGGATCACATTGAAAGAGTTGGGCACTCCAGGTGCTTACAAGTATGAGAGCGGGATTGCTCTTTTATTGATTCTAGATGGTGCTTTTGAAATCAAGCCGGCAATGATCACCTTGATCGAAAGGAAACAATATGGCGGTACAACAAGTGAAATCCCTCTCAACCATCTCAAAGATTTCGAGAAGTATTGCAATACAATTATGGAAGCCGGAGTTGCTCAAGAGTATATAAGGCTCAAGTTGTTTCCCTTTTCTCTCATTGGGAGAGCCTTAGAGTGGTTGGACAAGGAGGTAAAGCCAAGGTCCCTAAGGACATTGGATGAAGTTACCAAGGCTTTCTTGTCTCGTTTCTACCCACGAAAGAAGACGGCGGAGGCTGGAGCCTTAATCCAAAGTTTCAAGCAATTACCTAGAGAGAAACTCTATGAAGCATGGGAGAGGTACAAGGATTACCAAAGGGAATTCCCTCACCACGGAATTCCAACCTGTCAAGTCATACAAATTTTCTATGGTGGTTTGAGCTCTCAAGGTATATCGAGCCTTGATGCTAGAGCCAGAGGGCCGATTATGCACAAGACGGAAGAAGAGGTTGTTGATGTAATAGATGATGTAGTAAGGAACTACATGAATTGGCGTGATGTAGATATGGAATCTACAAGCACAAGTGGCTTAATCAATCAATCTAATGTCGTCAACAATTTGTCTACATTGGTCTCGGAGTTAGGAAAGGAGGTGATTTCTCTCAAGACCAAGCTTGAGAGTCCTTCACAAGCTTCTAGTCTTCCCTCCCATTTTAAGGGGAGAGGTACATCTTCCTACTCTAACCCTCTTTTTGCTTCTTATTGCATGATAAGAGAATGCTTGGTTTGTGATTTATGTGGAAAGAATGATCATGATGCTTCTAATTGCTCCAATGTTCCTTGTGATGGATATGAGAATGTGCATGTGAATTGTGTTGATAATAATGATTTTAGACCTAGATTTAATGCTCAAAAGAATGTTGGGAATAAGAATTATCACAATCATGGGAGCTATGATAATTATAACCAAAATAGTGGTTATGGTAACCATATGACCCAAGAGTTTTGTGGTAACCATAACAACTTTGGTTGTAATGACCAAAGCCATGGCCAAGAATATGGGGATCATAACCAAAGTTATGGTATCCATAATCAAAATTCCAACCAAAACCATGGTAGGGGTAATTGGAGTAATCAAAGTAGGGGAGATTTTCAAAATGATGTTCAAAGAGGTACCCCACCCCAATTTACTCCAAAGACTCAAAACCAAGGTGATAATTTCTATGATCAACAATCTTAAATGAATAGGCTAAAGAATTTCATGATGGCTCAATCCGAGAAGTTGAATGAATTCACATTGTCTTGTAACAAAATGTTAGAGGTCTTATTTACTCATGGAAAGATGCTTGAGAACCAAATCATTCAACTAGCCAACCCTTTGAGAGATTGTGCTAGTCCTCCTTCTTTACCATCACAAGAAGTTGACCCTAGGGATCCGATGTGTGCTATCACCACTAGGAGTAGTAAGGTCCTTAAAGAGAGTGTTCCTAGGAAAATTAAGGAGGGTGAAAAGGAGAGTGATTTGAGTGAAGGGAATAAGCATGAAGAGTCTAGCAAGATGAGTGAGAATTCCAATGATAAGCCTAAGGAGAAAGAGAGGAAGAAAGATGAGGTTTACAAACCTAGACTTCCTTACCCACAAAAGTTCAATAGGCACAAATTGGATGAGAAATTTGGACAATTCATCAAGATGCTTAAGAAGATTCACCTTAATATTCCTTTCACCGAGGTCTTGGAACAAATGCCAAACTATGCTAAGTTTCTTAAGGAAATTTTGAGCGGTAAGAGAGGTTGCAATATGGTGGAACTGGTGAATTTGGGGGAGTGTTGTAGCACCTTAATTCATAATGACTCACCCCAAAAGTTGAAAGATCACGGAAATTTTTCCGTACCTTGCAAAATCAAAGGAAAATTGTTCCAAAATGCCCTTTGTGATATTGGTGCTAGTGTTAGCATCATGCCTTATTCCGTTTTCAAGAAACTTAAGCTAGGTGAGCTCCTTCCATCCAACATAACCCTTCAATTGGGCGATCGATCTATTAAGTTTCCAAAGGGGAGAGTTGAGGATGTTCCCCTCAAGATAGGAGAGTTCACCATTCCCGTTGATTTCATTGTGCTTGAGATTGCGGAAGGTGATCATATCCCTATCATTTTAGGAAGACCTTTCTTAGCCACTTCGGGATCCTTAATAGATATCAAAGGAGGTCGTATTACCTTGAGAGTTGGTAAGAATGAGGAAAGTTTTGAGCTAAAACCAATGTATGAGTCTTTGTCTCTTGTGAAAGGAATTTTGTGTGTTAATTCCCCTCGCCCTATTGATGATGTATGCATGATTGATTCTTCAACTAACAATGTTCTTGAGAATTGTCATGATGTGATTTTGAGTTGTGATTGCAAGAAGGTTAGTGAAGAGAAAACGAAGCTTCCCAAGCTTATGGACGAGGAGGAAATTGACATTACTCATTGGTTTGAGCACTACCCTCAAGAGGAGGACGATGACCCTAAGAGTGTGGATGGTGTGAAACCATCTACAAAGAGGAACAAGGCAAAGAAAAGAGCACGAGCTTCTAGGAAAAAGAGAAAGAGAATGAGATTATGGAAAGAGAAGCTTGATTTTGAGGAGTTATTGATTGAAGTCTCATCAAGCAACAATGAGAATTTGCTATAATTTTAAGAGGAATTTGCTCCTTCCGCCACTTTGAAGAAGGTGGTGTTCTTTGACCCTCCATGATTTGGAGCAAGAGTCGAGCTTAGGACCATAAGCAAGCGCTTCCCGGGAGGCAACCTGGGGATTTCTAACCCTTTTCTTTCTATTTTCACTTTTTCTTAATTTTCTTTCTTTTAGTTTCTTTTGTTTCTTTCACTTGTTTTTCTTTTGGATTTATAGGTTGGATTCTTGGAGTTGGATTTCATCAAGTAAGAACAAGCAATGTGAAGGTGCTTGCGACTTTTGATGTGATTGAGCTTCTTTTGCTTTCCTTGTTCTCACATGGATTTATGATGATGCTTATGATTTCGGAGCGCAACAAAGGTGGTTCTTTCTATCGCTTTTCTTTATTAGCTAAGCATGGATAGCCCGGTGAGACCTTTCTAATTTTTCTCTTTATTTTCTTTGGATGCATAGATTAGGTTTAGTTTAGGGGAAGTTGAACGGTTCGAGGATGATTTCTTGTTAACACTTAATGTGTTTGGGATCGATGATGATGTTGTCATTTGATCAATTGTATGTCAATTGGGTTTAATGTGTTTAACTTGCTTTTTAGTTCCTTTCTCCCTTTTCCTAGTTTTCCTTTATCTATGGCTTTCCTTTTCTTTTCCTTTCCTTTTTCTTTTCCCTTATTTTTCCTTTGTTCTTGTCTTGGTATGTGGTATTCTTTTGAGGCTTGTTTTTCACCCTTTTTGTCTTATGAATTGGACTTTGTACATTGGACTTTCTCTTTTGAATGAATTTCTTCCTTGGTAGTAAAGGTATGCACGGTTTGAGAGTATGATTGGTTGACTCTAGGATAGGTGTATGCTAAGGTAGTTGGTTTGAACTAGGAGGATCATGAATCCGGATTCTACTTGTTTGTGGCATGCCAGGTAGTTGCTCCCTATAGTTGATTTGACACCGCTAGTGAGTTTTTGCTACATCCATGTGAGGTTCATTTTTTTTCAAGCCTTCAACCTATTTTTTATGAGCGGCGTGGATCCTTGACTATTGAGGACCTAATCTATAAAGCTTGATTTATGATCCTTAAACCCGAGACCGAGCTATCTAGGGAGGACAAAGGCATCTTTTCCGGGTAGTATTTTTCATTTTTAGGATTGTTTGTTTCATCTTTATTTTTGGGTTTACATTTGCCTTCTTGCAACCATTTGAGCCTATTACCTTCTTTTCAAGCCACATCTTTAGATCTTTGGCCTTTCATTTCATTTTGTTTCTTTTCTTGTTTTTGTGAAGCAATTGATCATTTTTAATGGAGTTTGTGGTGGAGAAGTTGGGATATTTGGTTTCTTTGAAGCAAGTTTGTGTTATGTTTTCAATGTGAATAATGGAAAATGTGTTTGAGTAAAAGCCATCCTAAGTTATAAAAGGCATGGACTAATAAGTTCAAAATTGAAAAAGCCGTCCAAAGTTAAAAGAGGCGAGGACAAAGCACTATTAATAAAAAAAAATCCAAAAATATTTTGATGTGAATATTCTCCCTATTTGAGCATTGAGGACAATGCTCCATTTAAGCTTGGGGGGAAGCGTTTTCATGCTTTTTGTGTATATGTTTGTGATTTATAGCTTTGAATAAGCTTGGGGGTGTTGTTTTTGTTTGGTGATTACTTGGTTATGGTGTAAAGAAATGTGCAATCTTTGCTTCACAATTTAGGTAAACCGCCAAATTTTAAATTTTAGCCTACCTTCACCCTTTATGCCTTACGTTACAACCTTTGGGAAAGCCTTTTCGACCTAGAAGTTGAGTCAGTATTCGGGGAAGGGAATCATGGGTCATTGCCTAAGGAAAGGGGATGCATAGTCAAGATGTCGAGTAGCCTAAATAAATCTCTTTTTTCGGTTCATTCGAGGAATCATTGGGATGCTCACTAAGGGAGATTTGAGACTAGTGGGGAGAACGCGGTAAGATTGATTGGGATGAACGTGGATTGAGATGTCTAGTTCCTATGCTTAGCATACCCTATGTTTCAATCAACCTTGGATATCTTGGAACGTGTATACCTTGATTGCTTGAGAAAGATGTTCATTCATTTGTAGTGTAGTCTCTTTATAAGTCCATTTCGCAAAGGTTTTGTTTTCCCATTTCCCTTTTCTTTTCTTTTCATGGTTTTGCCTCTTGGATGTTGGGGGAGAGTTATGGGTAAACTCTTAGGATACCCTTACGAGAGCATCACTCGTCCTCTAGGGCAATCTTGGGGTTTAAATGGCTTGTTGTAGCTAAAAACAACCATGATTCCTACGAAAGTGAGTCTTAGTGTATATTCTCATCTTGAGTCTTTCTTTTTATTTTTGAATAAGTCTTTCATCCTTATTCTTTCTTGCTTTGTTTTCCTCGAGGATGAGCAAAAGTTTAGCTTGGGGGAATTTGATGAGTGTCATTTATGGCACTCATTTGGCTTCTTTTAGGATGATTTTCATGCTCTTTTATAGCTCTTTTCCTTACTTTTCCTTAGTTTTGTTCTTTATTTCTTTAGTTTGTGCATTCCTTAGTTAGTTTTCTTTCATTGTGCATTTCTTTGTTTATTTTGTCTTTTTCCCTTTTATTTGCTTGTTTTCATGTATTTTCAGGTTATGATCGTGTTCCAAGGATTCCCCAGCCTTCCTCTCATATTTATCATCATTTTGGATGCCTCTTGATTGTCATTTGGAGCTCAAATTTGAAGGAATGCAAGGAGCAAGTTAATGAGATCGGTGCATGCATGCGGTGGGGGCATCATTTTTGGTGTGAACCCACCAAAGAAGCCATTTCAAGACTACCTACCTTAGTGTTCATCATCTTCACCAAGACGAGCACACGAGGATGATCTAGGACGAAGAAGAGGAGGCCTCCAGGTGCGGGCGTACCACCCCTTGGAGCGGGCGCACCACCTTGCGCCCCTATTTCCGTACCCATTTTTTCACAGCCGCGCCCTTCCGAGTTTCTTTTGGGACTATCTAACTAACTCTTCTTTTGTATCTTTCTTTTATAAAGTTTTTCCTTCTATTTTTAGGGGGAGAAGGATTAGAATAGAATTAGAATTAGTTTTTGATCAACTTAGAGAGATTTTTAGAGAGAGAAACTCTAGGTTTTAGTGAGAGAATTTCATGGTGGATTGTTGATGATTGAAGATTTCTCCATTTCCTTTGATCTTTGATCAAGTTTGTAAGGATTCCTTTTCTTTAATTCAATCTTTAGTTTGATCTTTAGTTTGATTTCAATTGTTTTGTTGAATGTTCAAGTTTGATTGATTTTTTATTTGATTTTAGTTTGTTTAATTTGATCATGATGAATTTATTTTTTAGCTTTGTTTTGATCTTGATTTCTATGGATTGTGAGTAGTTTGATTGCTAGGGTAATGGTGAATCATACATTATTAATGGATTGATGTTAATTTGGGGAAATTGATGGAGTTGATGATGTGATTAAATTGGTTAATTGATTATGTGCATGTGTGTGTTTGATTTAGGCTTGATCACCCTAGTTATTCACACTAGATTGCATTCTAGGTTCACATTGATACGGACCATTGATTTGTGGCTTGCATTTAACGATTGAGGTGTCTTGTGACATTCCTAGATAGAGTTTATCGTAGTTGACGCTAGTTAGACCTCTAGGAAAATAACTTGATATGCTCTTTTGGTTGTATGATTGGTTTTCCCTCGCATCACTCGACTTAGTCAACTCTTTCCCAATTAGAGGAATCCGTTACAAGTATATTTGGATCCCAAGCCCTAGTGTTTATTAAATTTGTCCCAACCTATCTTGTTTAGTTGTTTAGCATTCACACCCTTAGCTCACCTTTCTGGAATAACTTGACTTGAAAATATATGATCACCCTCCATTCCTTAGTGGTTCGACCCTCGACTTACCATTATACTTGTATAAGGGTGTGTTGAGAGATTACAAATTTTTTTTGGCCTAGGGTAGGGTTAGTTTCAACGACCTAGTCCGACCCTTGTCACGCCCGCGCCATCAGGCCGCGCGACCACTCCATGGTCGCGCGCTCTCGCACCTGGGAGCAGGGGAGCCCTCTTCCCTATCATTCCGATGCTCCTCGTGCGTTTCACTTAATGATCTTGATTAACACGAAACCTTGCAGTTTCTAAACTCCATGTTTGCGGGTTCAAGACTAGAAATCATGCCCCCACGACTTGAATACACATCTCAAGGATTTTAGGAACTTGCACTTCTCCATGCTTGAGCTTCAAATGGAGACCACTAGGCATCCTAATATATGCCGAACATGGGAAAAGGCCTCGGGAAACTTCAAAAATAAAATAAAAGTGAAAATAATAAAATAAACCAAGAAATGCATAAAGATAGAAATCCATTTAAGAAAATGAAAACTAAAAGAAATAAAGAGTAAAATCAAGGAAAAGCTAAGTAAAAGAGCTATAGAATAGCATGAAATTCACCATAAAAAGAACCAAATGAGTGCTATAAATGACACTCATAAAATTCCCCCAAGCTAAACTTTTGCACGTCCTCGAGCAAAACAAAGCAAGAAAGAATAAGGATGAAAAACTTATTCAAAAAGAAAAAGAAAGACATAAGACGAGAATATACACTAAGACTCAATTTCTTAGGAATCATGATTGTTTTTAGCTACAACAAGCCCTTTAAACCCCAATGTTTCCGATGAGGACGAGTGAAGTCTCGTAAAGGTTTCATATGAGCTTAACCTATAACTCTCCACCAATATACATGAGGCAAACCATAAAAAGAAAAGTAAAAGAAAGAAAAACAAAATTAAAACCTTTACGAATTGGACTTAAGAAAAAAATGATCACATTTCAAATGAATAAACATCTTTCCTAAGCGATAGAGGTATGTACGTTTCAAGATATCCGAGATTGATTGAAACATAGAGTATGCTAAGCATAGAGAACTAGTTATCACAATTCACCTTCATCCCGTTCAATCATACCGCGTTCTCCCTATGGTCTCAAACCTCTCTCTAATGAGCATCTCAATAGCTCCT